AACCCGAGCCCGGGGGTCGCGGATCCCCGGAGAGGGGTCCCGGGCTGTTCCGGGGAGTCCTGGGGCACTCCCGGGGCTCGTGGCTCTGCACCGAGCAGCGGGAAGCTCCCGGTGCGCACGGGGGGGTCCCGTCCCGGGAATATCCCATTCCGGGAATATCCCGCCCCGGGAATATCCCGCCCCGGGAATATCCCATTCCGGGAATATCCCATTCCGGGAATATCCCGTCCCGGGAATATCCCGCCCCGGGAATATCCCGCCCCGGGAATATCCCGCCCCGGGAATATCCCGCCCCGGGAATATCCCGCCCCGGGAATATCCCGCCCCGGGAATATCCCATTCCGGGAATATCCCGCCCCGGGAATATCCCGTCCCGGGAATATCCCGCCCCGGGAATATCCCATTCCGGGAATATCCCATCCCGGGAATATCCCATTCCGGGAATATCCCGCCCCGGGAATATCCCGCCCCGGGAACATCCCGCCCCGGGCCAAGCCCTGCCCGGTGCCACGTTCGGGGGGAGGTCCCGTCGCGTCCCGGGGGACACCACCGAGCCATGTCCCGTCCCGGGGGTCCCCGTGCGCTGCCGGGGGTGCCGTTACCTGCTGGCGTTGGGCCGGGGGCTGGGCTGGGGGCTCGGGGCCGGGTCCTGCCCCGCGGCCGGGCTCGGGCTGAGAGCCCCCAGCGCCCCGAGCAGCAGCAGCGGCAGCGGCGGCGGCCCGAGGCGGCTCATGGCGAGGCCGGGCAGGGGCGAAGGGGGCCGGAACGGGGCCGGGACCGGGCAAACGGGGCCGGGACCGGGGGCACGGAGAGGGATGGGGGGGCGGAATGAGCGGGAAGGGGCGTGGCCTGCTGATGACACGCCCAAAGGGCGGAGCCATATAGCAAACCACGCCTATAATGGAAGGGCGGGGACGCTGCTCGGCCCCGCCCAAAAGGCGTGGCCGTGGGCGTGGCCTGTGACTGCCAGGCTGGAGTGGGCAGGGCCAGCAGAGAGGAGGCACCGGAATGTGGGGGAGACCCCCAAAAACGAGACGCTTCTTTTTAATGAGCGGGATCGCCATTAATTAGGGACTCCCCTGTAAGAAGGGGGGGCCCTCCTGACCGAGGGCCCCTCCCACAGACACACACACGCGGGGGGTGGGCAGTGTGACAGCAGCTGGGGGCCCCCCCCGGCAGGGAGACCCCCGGTTGTGGGGTGGGGGGAGGCCGTGATTGTCCATTTGGGGGAGG